CAACAAATAAAACAGAAAACGAAACTCAATATCAGTTAAAACTTTTATTAAAACATTCAGGCTTACAAAAATACAGTGCAAAAATTTCAAGTCTGCATAAAATGGCAATATGGTACAACATGAAGTACAGAATCGGTTGTACCATATTTTCTTTGAAGATCAAATGGTTTGAAATAACACAGCTCATTTACATTGACAACTGTTAAAACTTTGTCTGGATGCAGTCTGACTGTAAAAGCATAGTAATGCTCATCAAAACATACAGTTTCCATTAGTGTGCCACATAACAGTACATTTTCATTTTTGACAGCTATAGTCATGATCTTACAAAACACTGGCATCTCATGTGCTACTTCTGTGCAGATAATAAAGTCAGGACGATACTCTGTGCCATGATGTTTGATCCACTTTACAGCATAGACTATTTCAGATATTACCACACCTAATTTTGAAGCAATCTCTGGGCCACCTCTAATTTCCCTGAGTTCCACCATCTTTCCTGGGCCAAGAGTCAGTCTGTACTGGCTAAAAGACTCCCAATACATTGCCATACAACTCTGGTGCTTTTTGGCTAGTGTTTTGGTGATGTTTTTGAAACTTTTTAATTGTGTTTTAAAGAATTTGTGCTTAGCTTCATAACGCATACACCATGTGTGCAAAATTGGACCAATTTTCCTTATACATTGTGGGTAATGTATCATGATGTGATGTTTTGGCAGAAGATTTTTTTGGGGAAATAACATTTTAAATAGCCGATGATGTTCAATTATCAAATGTTTAAGATAAGTGGTCATGCCATCTGTTAAGACAGGTGAAAAGACAATGTTAACAATCTGCAGAAGTAAAAGCAAAAGATGCCAGTGTTTATCATCTTTATGTATTAAATCTCCAAATATTAAAGGCAAATTGCGCAATAAGCACCAAGATTGAATAGCATTTAAACCTAAATCATTGCTTCCATCAAGCAATTTGACTTTTGGAGGACGGTTTCTCTGCTGATTGTAACCATAGTCAAAAGCATGTACTCTACCATCAAGATCATTGGCACTCAGAAAATTATGCTGAATGTACTGCAGAACAAGTTTTACCTCTAGCTGGGCAACTCCTTCTAGAATGTCGTGCATTATATCAACAGCAAAATTGGTGGCTGTGTTGAAATATTTGAGGGAATTTAATAAGCATGCCCTTTTGACACCATACACGTGAGGTAGTGTAGAATCAGACTGTAAAGTTTCACAATGCAGAGCATGCATCTCAGCAGTTCTTAGTTCAACCTCAGGACTATCTTCAGAGAACACTGACTGAAACTGATGCTTCTCAAGCAGACAAAAACGACAACAATATCGAGCCCGAAATGATTCCAGAAAGCCAAACAAGCTGTGCAGACCTAGGTTATCCCCTGTGACTTGAACGATAGTACCCTTAATGCATCTTCCAGACACTGGATTCTTAACTCCCTCAATTTCAAGCACTTTCAGATCATTGACCAGGGGCTCAATTATGGAGTTAAAACCATAGCGCTTAACATCCTGTGCATGAAAGAGGGCACATAAATGAATATTAACCAGTGAGGAGTTAAAAACTGGTGGGAAATTTCTTAATGAAAAATAGATTGCACCCAATTTATGTATACCTTTCTTTGAGCCCAGTGGATTAGCGGTCTCAAAATCATCATAAAATAACTGAATTTGTAAGGCATCTTTTTCTGTAGAAAATAAAGGACTGCTTTTAAAATGTGCTGCATCACTTAAGTCCACATAAATTCCTTCCTTTGAAATGTGCCTGGGTTTAAACAAATCGGTAAGTTGTGGATTTTTTAAAATTGTCTTTAGTGTTTCTAAAATGGGAATATAAGAAAATTTATCAGTCACAACAACTTGATCAAATGTTCCTGTAGTTTTATTTCTTCTGCTGTCAAATCTTGTGCCGAGTACTATTTCACTAGGTTCAACAATCCCCCATTTCGCTGTAAACAGTCGCTGTCGCTTGACTTCCGAATTTAACAAAGTAAATGGATTTTCTAAATTTGTAAAAGATTCCTCTATTTTCCTTTTACTAACAGTGTCCTCAGAAGATATACAGAGCAAAGCTGCATCCTGGGCTTGACTATGAATCTCAAAAACCACTTCTTCCATAGATGAAACAAAACCATTTATTGCAGACTGACTTAAACCAGCAACTTTCAGTTGTGCAACAGCAGACGCACACATATCTAAAGTGTTCTTATTAGACTTTAACATTACAGATGTTGTGGCCACATCTTCAGCACTGTCACTCTGGTGGAACATTGCAGCACTATTTTCTTCCTCTGTCTCACAGATGCCACTAGGGTCACAACTCTGTTCACATTGTTCAGGATGTTTTATATTCAAATGTTTTCTAAAACCTGAGAAGGTACCAAACTCAGAACCGCATCCTGCCTCTACACATTTAAGTCGAAGGCTCTTTCCAGGAACCAAACCATGAACAAATCTGAAGTGCCTAACAAGCAATTTTGAACCATTTAATTCCGTCTCACAAACAAAACACTTCATGAGTGCACTGGAACTTTAGGCACCTAGTTAAGCAGCCTTGCCCTAACCTCAGCAACACGAGGACTTTCTTTCACTTTCCCAACATCTATGTTGTACACAGTGGTTTGAATGAAAGTGTACATGTTGTGCAGCATGGTGTTGTAAGAGGTGCCAAAAACATAATGTGCCTTAAACAGTTCATCAAAGGCACCAAGAGAAGAGGTGGACTTGCATGGAATGGCATGCTGATCAAGGATGATGAAGAACTGGTGAATTGAATCCTTCTGAGGACCTACAGCCAGGAGATAGGGCTGAGCGCTCGCAGAGATGTCTTGCAGATGCTCCTCGATGTTTGTTCCACTCTAAAAAAAAAAAAGCAAGCAAGTAAAAAAGAAACATCACTAACAAGTTAAATAATAACAAACTATGACAGAACAATCATTAAATAAAACCAGCAAACAAACCTTCTTGAAGACAACAAGATGATTTTCTGCTTGAGAAGCAGAAACTTTCCCTGGTCTCTTCCGGCCTTGAGCAGATGGTGGAATCAGATGCAACAGTAGTAGTACTGAAGCAAGGTCGCTGTCCCAAACTGTTTAAACAGGTAACAAACAATTGGTTAATATAATAAATGTTAACTCGCAGCAAAACAATGTTGAAAACTAGAAGTTAACTACATAAAAAAGCCAAAAATATATACAAAGTGACTAAAGCTACATTAACAATCTTAGTTTGAATCCAATTATTTGTAAATCTGATAAAACTTTGATCCAAACTACCAACATATAAAAAAATTGATGAATATGATTTACAATAATACACACACATATATATGAATGAATTCCAATTGAATATGAACATTTAAAAATTAAACTGACAGTGTGTAACTATGGCTAACTTCATTCATGCTTGGGTTCCTTTAAATATTATAATAACCATGGTATGAAACATTACCTAAACATTAATCAAAATTCTTACCAATATGAACATCTTCTTCAGTGTCATCACGAAGAGATTCTGCTGCTAGCAAAAGTTCCTGTAAATCGCTGGTTGCAGGAAGTCTTTTGCACTGCTGAATGACTTTTTGAACGCTGTTGTCCACTTCTCTAGCAGCTTGCCTGACACTCCTTCTCCAAACATCAGAACAAAGTCTTGCTCAATCTAATAAGCATAACATTTTAATTATTGTAATGCTTAGGGCAAATCTTTAAACTCATGTCACCACTGACTATTTGATTTTTATACAACAAACCATTTATCAAATATGATTATAAACACTTACCAAGCCTTTAATGTCCTTCAAACGAGGAAAAATTGTCAATAGATCACTGGACTGCATGGGATCAAGAACCATCTTACGACGATAGTCAAATGTCAGTTTCATTTTCTTCTTGATGGCATCCTCATCAGCAGAATGGTTCATGAATGCAATTGCTTCTTTGCATTCATCCTCACTAAGGACAATCTCTGGAGTAAACTTTGAATGCCTTGCTACAGTTGGTCCACCGGATCCCCGCTCAGCATACGACACTTGACCTAACAAACAACAAAACTAATTTTAACTGTTTGTTTATACAAAATAAAAAAAATAATCATCCAAGCACAAAGAAAATTAGATTGCTACATTTCTGAAGTTCATTTTGTACCTTCAAATGATCCTCGTCGTTCTTTAGCCAGGTTTCTCTGAATAGTTTTGATTCTCCATGCCAAATATCCGGTGCCACTCTCACCATCATAGTAATGCTCCTAAAGAGATAAAAATGGGTAAAAAGGGGGACACAGGAGCAAAATATACCATCTGTAGTATAGGTGTGTAAAAAAAAAAAAACGTGACAACACAAATGTAAAATTTTAAAAAGGTGCAAGACTTACAAAGCCATTTTTGGAATAGGGGTCACTGAGGTAAGGGAACAAAGCCACGATTCCTCTGGCATATTTTTCTTTGACCAGCCTTGGTGGGGACCCTCTGCAAAATAATGATTTATTATAAAAAAAATAATAAAATAAATAAATCCACAACTATATCAAGTAGCTATGTGTACACACAAATCAGTACTTTGCAGATTACCCATTTTTTTCGGTCATATCAGCTGCCAGGATATTAACCATTTTTCTCCTCGTTTCATCCTTCAAAGCCTTTGTTCTGTTATACTCATTTATTATACTCTCGCCTCCAGGTTTCTTGACAAGAACAGATTGCACCAGCTTTAAAATAAGAGGGGAAAAGGCAGGTTATAAACAAATTAAACAAACACACCTAACAAAAAGCAAAAAATGAATTTTTAAATTAAATGTAAATTATATATTTTTTCAATTTAAATCATTTTTATGTAGAAAAAAAAAAAGTCCACCTTTTTTGCTTCATCATCCAGCTTCATTCGCTTACTGTCAGGGCCTTCTTCAATAATGACTGTATCCTGAGAGTCAAGGGAGTCAATGGATGAAGACAGAGACTGATCTAAATGCATAGAAGATGATTGTGGAGAAGCCGGTTCCAAATCTGTTTGCATAAACAATATAAGGGTGAGGAAGTCTCTATGACAAAAAATGTGAAACATTACAGTCAAATAATGTGATAAAATACAAACCTGCACCATGTTTTATGGTGAGAACGCCAACGGAGGGATCTTTGATTAACTCCTCAAAAACATCACCATCCACCTCAGTCCCAGATTCATCCACAACCTTCACGTTCTCAGGTACATTTGGAACCCCAAACTTCAAAAAGGCTAAACAATACATAAATAATATATTGCATAATAATAATAAAATGTGAAAGCTGATCAGTTATATACTGGTAACTCTGAATATCATCTGGAAACATAACACAGCAGCATATACATCAGTATTTAAATTGACCACATACCAAATAAGAAATCTGAATAACAAAAGTGTAATTGTTTCTTACCTGCAGACAAAAAGTCCTCCAGGTTCACATGGGCTATTTTAACAAACTTTTGTGCATCCCCAAATTTCACCTTTACCAGCATGCTCTGTAAGAAAAATGAGAATGTTTCATACAGGTGCCAATGGGGGGGGGGACTTTAATCATACATAAATTTATAAATGACACAAAAATGGCACATAGGTTTATAAATTGTTGCAAGATTTTATAACCATTAACATATATTTATTATTTAAGAATTGGTCATCCCAGTTAGTAAAGTAATTACACAAGTACTTAAAGGTTTTACTCACGATGTGATCTGTAGAGCCTTATATGCACAGAAACTTGGGGGAAAAGAAAACACCAATATGTCAACAATCATTTTCCTGTTATGTCAAAGTATAACACACATTCACCATAGAAAAAAATGATTCTAATCCACTTAATTTTGAAATAATGTCTGTGCTGAAGGGTTGTCATGATACTGAATTTTGGTACCAATTGGTACTGGAATTAAAAGCATCCATTTCCGCTAATATTTAAGTGTTTTTGAGTAGCCAAAATATTATTAAAATGTAATAAGTTGTTTCCAAACTCATCTACAACTAGCACAGACGTTGCCACATTACACAAACAAGTCATAACTTGGAATGCTGTAAGAGTAAATCATAATTTATTGTTTACCTGGTCTTTTGTCTATGATTATCAGCTTCAGGTCTTCAAACGTCAGTGGTTCGTTCACGTCCCACAGACCCACATTAATTAAGCTGCCAAAAGGAGCCATGATTTTTAGTTTACCTCTCGAGTCTTCTGGTTTTTGAGTCGTTCGTTTATCATGTGGCAGCACGTGAAGAGAGATGAATCAAATCCGAAGACTCGATAAATGAACGAATCAAAACTTTTTCCGGCTCTAAATGCATGACTGGCTTCTGTCTTTCACGCGATGAACGAACGACTCAAAGCACATAGAAGACTCGAAAAGGAACGAATCTTCTGCTCCACCAGCACAATTGTGCAATTAAACGAATCACTCCGAAAGGACTCAACGTTTTCGAGTCATACAAAAGATTCATTCAAAATGAACGAATCGTTTATGAACGACCCATCACTACATGTCACCGCTGTTTACCGGCCACAAACACAGATGCACGCCACTTGATCGTTTTAAAAGCCGCGAAGATGAGCTGGCGTGTCTATGGGCTGACATTTAAGAGATCCGCTGATGATTCACAGTTTTAAAATGATCCGCTGTCTCTGTATCGGTGTTTGCACTCGGTAAACAGCGGTTAACGTTAAGTGCGGTGAACTGATGACCTTCACGACCAAACGGCGGGGTTTAGGACCGCGCTCAACAGCGAATTTCAGTAACGTTAATTGCTACCGAAAAACAGTATCATGACAACACTAACAAGCTGTTAAAATGCAACCTCTTAACAGAGAAACGTTAATTAGGAAGTAATTTGAAATTGACTGAAAATATTTAACCAGCAGTGAGCTCGACAGCCATACAGAGACAGTTAATTTTACACTACATATGTTTATATCATATAACTTTCTCTGTAAGTTACCATCTTAATATGTTGAAACAACAAAATACTGACCTAACAGTTACCTGGAACATTGCAGAGTTGTTCTTGAAAGCAAAACTTCGAGGCTAAATGTAGCCTAACGTTAACGTCTTCTTCAGAGTTCACAGTACAAAACTAAATGAATATAAAAGTAAGATTAGAAATCGCAAAAACAATTTAAGTAAGATCATTGGCATCGTTTAAGCTTCATCTTTAACGTTAAGGTGACGACACTGTGATAAAATCGATCGAATTACACGGTCACAAAGTGACTCATAATCAATGTTTTAACAAACAAAACTCATCAAAGTACAACATATACCGTTGTATTAGCACATTTACTCATATAAATCGATAAAATGATGTTTTAAGACGTTAAACAAGAGAGCTTACCTATACGCACGAGGGAGCAGAAAATGGCGCCGACAAAACTCCAACACGTTCTCTGCAGGGGGTAGATTGAGGGGCGGAGCTTAACAGAGCAAAGTTAACGACGTAGAATACAACTCTGATCATTTTCACCAACACAAGGGGGTGTCTTTCACCGTTTCTTGTAAAATTAACTCATTTTGATTAAATGCAGATTAACACAGCTTAATTAACACAGCGGATTTTACTGTGTAGATTTTTCCATTGGCATACAGTTCACCGGAAGCACTTAATCCAGGTTACTGGCAAATTAAAAGTCCTATTATCATGCTTCGGCAATCGGCATATACCCTATGGTGGATGTACACTGTAAAGACATTGAGATGGTTTCAACATTTTGCCATTTATCAGCTGAGGGGAAAAAGGTGGCTTCAACAAAAGGGCTCCCCCATGTCATTAAATCTGTTATGTGGACTCTTTTAAATGCAGAACCTTTTTTAAAACAAAATTTTCATAATTATTATAAGTTCTTAATGTAAGCAGGACACTTACATTTGCATATTTATTGCTATATTTTAAAAATGATATTTCTTCTCCTTTTCAAATTGCAACTAACCGCCCAATGCACTTTTATATTAACAAGTCGTATATCTAATCGCAGATGCTATAAAAGAAGAAGAATGACTGTGATCAATGTTAATTAAGATAATATACTGCTGTTTATATATATGATTAAGTAAAGTTAATTAATATCAAGTTAATATTAAACCTCAGTGTACTGTAACACATGAAAGCTAGCTGGAAACATTGCCGTCTTCAAATAAGAGTAGATCACTTACATTGGGTAAATGAAAGTGCAATTTGAAATATGCTAAATAGGTTTAAAAGAACAACTTTTCACCTGCCCTCTCATTGCTTAAAGCCAACATATTCTTTTTTGATAAAATGCAAATGCAGAGATAGGGTAGATGAATTTGGCCTTCAACTTACTGACCGTTTTTTAATCAAAGAAAGTCTGAAATGGAAATAGCTGTGAACAGCAAAGACTCTGAAGTGTAGTTCACTGACATCGGATGTATGGAGCTGCAGTTGTTATCATTGATATTACGGCTCTGTTTGCATGACAGAGTCTCACTTCTATCATCTGATTGAAACCCCCTTCCACCCACCCCCTTTCTGATAAATCTGTGCTTCCAATTGAAATGTTTTCTGCAAGCATTTTCCATTATCTGTTCCTGTGACACCAATTCAGAAACGACTAAATGAGATGCATTGAAGTGAATGAACAGTTTGTAGCATGTGAATGTTCAAAGTTGATCTATTTCTCATTTTATATTCTAATCATTGCAGTACCTCTTTTGCTCCAGGATACGTAACTTTTCTGGCTGCCATTCAACATTTTATGGATGTGGAGCTATAAAATTGCACTGCTGGCTTTTAAGGTAAATTTGATTGAACAGCAGTACATGCATATGAGAACTCCTGTTATGCCAAAACTCATATTTGGCAGATTTGGAGCACTTTGGGGCAAGCTGTGTAAAAGCAAAAGCCTTCTCGGGTCATTGCTGTTGTGCAAACAAAGATGATTAGTATTGTTGTCATTGCTTCTCTTCATATTTCCAAAGTGGTAGTTCACACAAAAACTGAATATGTGCTGTTAATTTGGTCTTTCTTAACTATCCAGGATGCTGGTCGACTTCTTCAGTAACAAACTGAAACAGTTCTTCAAAAATGTAAAAAATGTTGGGTTCCACACAATCGATTTGCATTGGGACAACATGAAGATAGTAAGTTAACTTATTAGTGTTTACAAATTTAAGTGGATTGAACATAAAAAAGCCAACATTATTACATGCAGTCCATAGCCTAAGTAAAAGTTTACTACTTTTTAAATAGATTACAGCATTCAGGCTTTGGATTGTGTGTAATAATGTTATGAATTTTTTATTTATTTACACAGATTGATTTTTTTTTTAATGTTGCCCAAGACCTTAACGTATTATTAGCAGCCAAGGGTATTCATTGTATTTTGCCTCTGTATGTTTTTGGTTGACTTTCAAAGTGCCAGAAGCCATTGACTTGCATTTATTGAATCAATATCAGAGTTTCAGCTTAAAATCTTAATCTTTAATGCTCTACTGTTCAGAGGAGGAGTAAATTAAATGCAAGTTTTCCTTTATTGGTGAATCTTTACTTATTAGTTTTATGTGTGCAAGCATTTTTTAAAACATATTTCAGCAGGAATAATAATAATAATAAACTCTTATATACTACATAACGAACATGTAAAACATGAATTCAATGTATATAAAGTATAGAGCTCTATTATTATTGCAACTACAGCTTTAGAAAGAATACTAGACAAATGTTGCAGTCTTTACCCACATTTACACATTACAAGACTTCATGAAACAAAAAGAGATCAAAGAGGCAAGAAGGCATATTTACGAAAGCTGTACCGAAGAAGCCATAAATCCCTTTTGGATAATATGCGTGTGCAGGTCTCATTGGGTAGTGAGGGTAAAGCCTGCTTGAAGGCAGTGTAAATCAGACAATGTTGTCCTTTATTCCCTATTAATGATGACAGGGCTTTAACCCTGGTACATTATTACTGGAACTCTGTGTCTCTCTGTATCAGCAACCTTTAAAAGCGTGGCAGGCTGAGGATAAGAGAGATGAAGTGAACGCTTTTATAATGAAATTGAATTTATTTTCTCTGAAATGAGGCTGTCCCTTGTCCTTATGTAAAATGTGTGTGTGTGTGTGTGTGTGTGTGTGTGTGTGTGTGTGTGTGTGTGTGTGTGTGTGTGTATTCAGGCTGTCGAGCAACACTTGAATATGATGGCTCTCTGAGGCTTTTGGAAACTCGCTAGACAATTTCAAACAACTTTCCTCCCAATATCTCACTATCAAATAATAACCTTGGCCTGGCTGAGATTGTGCTCCTCTCCGTGAAGCTTTGTGTGTGTGTGTGTGTGTGTGTGTGTGTGGGTGGGTGTTTTGTTTTTGTGCTTATTCGTGTCTGTGGGTTTTTTTATGTGTGTCTGTGTAAATTAGGGCTGTGCGATATTGAATAAAAATGCGATACTGTATGTGACCACATGCTAAATAATGTCATATTCAGAATGTGATAGAATATTTTAAAAATAAATGTTGTAACCAGCAACTTCAAAAAGCCAACAGCCATGTTTTATTGTTACAAAAAACAAATCTGACATTTTAACAAATATATTAAGTTAAATCTCATTTAAAATATAGTAGTAATGTACTGAATTTAAACAAAATAAATATTGCCACTAATTTGCCTTCCTACTATAGTCTTGTCAACCTGAAAACATCCAGAACAATCAGGAAAACAGTGGAGTTACATATTGAATATTGAACATTTTAAACATTTCCAACATTGCTTGATCATATTTCAGCATCCGCATGAAAACCAATACAGATTTTGGATGGAAAAGTAAACCAGCATGTCCACTCTTCTTAGTTTCAGAGATGGATGTTGATGTACATTTCCCATGTTGACATTAGCCTATGTTGACATTTCCTGATGTCTTTCTGTTGTGTTCTACTGTCAGGCACACAATACTTTAGTATTAAGTCACTCATTTATTGCATACATTATATATTTATATTGTAATAGGTACGTTTGTGATGCAGCGGTAATTACATGTATTGCACAGCCCTAGTATGTAAACATAACCTTATAATAAGCTTTTTTTTGA